GAGATCAAGCGCGTGCAGCGTGAGGCATGACTTGGCTTTGGAAGTCTATCTGAGCACAGGGCGCCAACCAACAAAGCACGGCTTGTCCAACACATGCAGGAGATGAAAAAGGAGCTCGAGAAGAAGATGGCTGCTCGAAGCAGCCCTGGCGTGGTGGTTGCTAAGCCGCATATCGGTCACTGAACTGCTAGTGACTGCGACTCCTCGTCCGATCCGGTGATCCTGGCCGTGTCACCGTGGTCAGCCGTGTCACTGCGTCCTTCTTAAGGACATGTTCATGGGTGCGGCCTTCCCCGAAGACCTGCAGAAAAAGATCTCAAAGAGCAGACAGGCCGGGGTTGTCCGGGAAGTTGCCTCGGTTGCGCTCCGCATTGCTCGGCTCTGCTCTGCATGGGAGGAGAAGCAGCGCTCCGTGCTGAAGCAGAAGCTCCAGGCGGATCAACCTTACAGAAGCTCTGACGCTGCACAGAAGCTCAGCTTGTGCCGCTTGTGCCGTGTGTGCCGAGGCCAAGAGGGAGATGAATCAGATGGCCAGCTTGGTGCAGGGCCGCCGTCATTGAAGGCACGCGTGACGCAAGCGAATGAAGGTGGAAAGGTCCACTTGAGGAGCTGTTCGGCCAGGCGCAGCGTGCGAAGCATGAGCAGCGGAGAATGAGAAGTGAGTAGTTGATACTAGACTCCGGGGAGATTTAGTCTTGAGTCTTGGACAAGGCAAAAGACGCCTTGATCAGAGGAGACTTCTTCGAAGTGTTTTTTTCGTTGCAAATGGTGCTTGGGAGTGGGTTCTGGGTTCGCGATACGCAAGTCGCGTCAGAAGTGGTACACGTGGGGGCAGCCCTTGGGACACAACATATCTGACATATCACAACATCCTTGGGAGCCAATGGAGCCCGGAGACCGCTTGCCCTGGCTTTGGTCTTTTAAGCTAGAGGGGGGCGGGGCCTTGCAGGAATGCGCTTGCAGGTGCTCTCAGTCCCCTCAGTGCTCTCGTGGCCCGAAGGGCCCAAAGATAGGCTGAAATATGTTAAAAATGCTTTTTCAATGTGCATCAGCCTTGGCTCAGGGGGGGCTGTTTTTGTGACCTCAGTCGCCCATCAGCCGGAAGCAAAAGGACAAGCGCCGGACCTGCAGGGACATGCAGGGACAGGCAGTGACAGGTTCCAGGCGTAGGTAATCTCAGCTGTAACAGTGCGACTGTGGCAGAGTGATGCATCTTGGCAACAAAAAAGGATCCGGTCTTTGCAATCCGCTCTCTCAGGGGTCTGGTCTCGACCCCTACAAGCTGGGCCGCGCCTCTCGGCAGGTTGGTTTTGCCTTCTTGAGCTTCGGAGCAATGCGAGCAACGCTTGGCCAGTGTCTCAACTGAGGTCCTGCGCCTTGTCACGGATGAGAGATTTCCCAGAATTGGTCGCGTGTGCCATGGCCCCTGCTCCAAATTGTGGCTGTATGTGCGAGCACTTCACACGCGCCGCGGCCCATTCGTGCAGCTAAAGCCAGATATGTGGGGATGAGCGCGCGGAGCAGGAGCATGAAAGGCTTCATCCGGAGGATTCAGTTCCCGCCACCAACATGGAAGCCGCCTGAGACCCAAACCCAGCCCCAGAAGGCCCCAGGAGGGCCCAGAAGGGCCCAGAAGGCCCAGTGGTGCAGGCCCAGGAGGCCCTACAGGCCGGCCAAAACAGGGCGCCGACAACGCCGAAGCGGACGCGGCTCCAGTCAAAGGAGTGCGGGGGGAATTGCCGATGGACCACGGCATGTATATGAATGATCATTAATGTCTTGCTGTCAGCCAGATGTCGTGCGGATGCCACAGGTTTCATGGTGGAAGATGCAGATGGCTTCCGGGTGCTCGAGGAGGCTGATATGCCTGGCCCTGGCAATACTGTCCTTGGGACCCCTTCATGAGATTTCATCATTCAGTCTGAACGTGCACCCTGCTGATTGTAGGGCCATGCAGGGTGGAGTTCTTTGCCCAAGCATCTTCATGGATATGGGTTTGTATCTTGTTGGGGGGCTCAGGTTTAAGAAGGGCACACGGGGTGCACACCCGCGAAACATACCCCGTAACATACCCCGAAACATACCCCCGAAACATACCCTGTAACATACCCCCGAAATTGCAGGTAAAGTAGCTCATGATGCCGCGAAACATACCCGAAACATACCCCCAAAACATACCCCGAAACATACCCGCGAAACATACCCCGACCCTAACACGTGTCGCGCGCCTCCCCATGAAAATGCAAACCCATATTCCTCAATCAGAAACGCTTCGATATATTCGGCATGATCATGTCACAAGCCCCCCCCCATCGATGTGCCTGGCACCCCTGTGCGCAGCATACTCGTGTGTTAACAGGTTTGAATGCCAGCTGTTGCAGCAGTTCTCTGTGCAGGTGGTACTCTGAAGATTTCCTGGGCTTGCTTTCTGTTTCAAGGGGTTTGCCGAGTCGGAGTTCTTGTCGCCGTATCCTAGCGGCTTTCTTTTGGGTGGAGGCCCCTTCGGCCTCTCGAAGATCGTCGCTTGCCTTTCGCCCAGTTTTAGAGACACAGAGAACTGAATGTAGAGAGAGACAGAGAGCGAGGGAGAGAGAACACCCAACACCAAGATAGGCACCCTGGGGGGAAAACCAACAGCGTCCCCCAGGTGCATGTTTTTACCCTTTCGGCCATTCAGCTTCTTCTTTGCCCCGTCAACAAGATGGGGATCACGAGACCTTGGACATCGCGCGCCCCTAGGGGCGGCCTCTCCTTCGGGGGGGGCCATGCGTGCAGGAGGAGGAGGAGGAGGAGAGAGAGAGCGAGGGAGAGGGAGAGAGAAGAAGAAGAAGAAGAAGAAGAAGAAGAAGAAGAAGAAGAAGAAGAAGAAGAAGCAGAAGAATAAGAAGAAGAAGAAGAAGAGAGAGAAAAGAGTTAGGGAGGGTTATGCTAGCAAGCCAGGGAGGGTACGAAGGAGCAGTTTTACCACAGGTCGAACCAGTAGGCAGTGATAATATTAACCCATGCTTTAACGCAGTACTTGCATCCTGTAACACGAGTGCCGCTGGAGAGGGAGAGACCGAACAAGCCATGACATGCTGAGCGCACCGGCAGATCTCCCCAACGTTTACCAGTCTCCCACCATTTCTGCAGGCCAACAAGCCACAAGCATCAAGCATCAGCAAAGGGGTACTGCACTGCGAGCCACAGGGGACAATGTTCCCAAGCAGGACCCGGGAATGCCATTGTTGGGTATCACAATGAATTTCACAATTGATAGCTTCTGCACCTTGCGTAAACCGTGAGACAATCAAAGGCATTGGCTGCTAGCCGGATAACTAGGTGAGCCAATGAGCCCAAGACCTCGCACACAGGGTGAAAGGGGAACTAGAGGGAGTTTGGTGGTTTGGGGAGGTGGATGAGGGGGGGGGGGTCTCACCAACAGACCCCGCGTGCTGGAAAAGAAAGAAGGAAGGAAGAGAGAAGAAGAAGAAGAAGAAGAAGCAGAAGAAGAAGAAGAAGAAGGGACGGTGGTGTACGAGGTGATATGAAGATGCCCCCATTCCGCTTGGGTGCGCCCCCAGGGGGGGGGGGGGGGGGGGGGGGGGGGGGGGAACCCTGGGGAGCTTTCTACAGAAAGAAGGAAGGAAAGAAAGACCTTCCCTAACCCTCATGCCCAGCAGAAGAAGAAGAGTTTTGTTTTGCCTCCCTCTCTCTCTCTCTCTCGCTCTGTCAGTGTGTGAGGGCAAGTCCTGAAAATTTGCCTCGAGTGCACCAACAGTCAAGAGCGCGCTTTTCAGGACCTGCGCGTGACGCTGGCACCAACCACCCGGCTCCTCGTGGCTCGGGGAACAGAATTCTTTCTTTTGCCGAGAGCACGAACACAAAGCTAGATCCCTCATCAACAGTTGAAGTGATGCAAGCAACCCAAAGAATCCAAAGATGATCAGCGAATCTATTTTTAAGTGTCAACAAGTTCTCAGACCTTCTGACTCTGACTCTGCCGAGGCCTTCCTGGACTCTGAGCCTTTGAGTCCGTGCCGGAGCATTCGTGGCTTGAGGGCCCGAAGCCAAGAGCTCTTCCGCCGGGCGAACAGACTCGAAAGAACTGCAGGTGGTCTCCAGCATGCTCTTCACCGATGGCATGCTGCGAAAAGTCTTAAGCCTCTGCCCCACTTTGCAGGAGCAAATTGTGGGGGCAATCGGCAGTCATGGCAGTCCGTTTGATGCCTCCTTTGCCTCGTACTGTGTCATAGTTAAGCCTCCACTGGCTTTAATGCTAGTTTGTGCACAGCGCCTCTTTGGCCCGAAGGAGTACTTTGACAGTGATTAGAGACCAGTTAAAACAACCCCGTCGCGATGGCCTACATGTGGCAGAAGCCCCGGACCATGCACAAGCAGAAGGCCAACTTGATGGATTTCGTCCACCGCACCACCATGTGCTTCTTGGCTGCTAGAGTCCCATCTGTCGGTGGCCCCCCGAAACCTGCCTGGTGGTCTGAGGCAAGTTCTACCAGACAGGCCGATGTAACAAAGGCTACAGCTGCACCTTCGCACACTCCGAGGACTGAAGGGCGAGAGGCAACAAAATGAGGTTTAGGGAATGTGAGGGAATGCAGCACGGAGCGTGCAGTAGTGGCAGTTGCCACGCGGCCTCGCCTACCGAGAGAACTGAGAGGGCATCTGAGTTTCCATGTGAGGACCAGCTCCAAAGCCAGCCGGACCTGTACAAGACCAGCTTGTGCCCGGCTCAGCGTCCACAATTGAGCTCTCATGCAAGTCACGGAAATCTCTTCGGGAATCCGGAACAGAAATTTGTCCCCCTGTAGGTGCTCCAAGTTCACCAGGAAGGGCTTCTGCAAGAACGGGGACCAGTGCAAATATGCCCATGGCAAGGACGAGCTCCGGGAGCCTATCCTCCATCAGGGCTCTTTGAGCCACTCTTCGAGTGACTCTTTGGGTGAGTCTCTGGCTGACCTCCCTGACCTCCCTGACCGCTCACACACCTCTCACATCTCTCACATCTCTCACTCCTCTGGCTACTTGCATGACGAAGGATTGAACCAGCTTCCATTGCTCACTCAAGACTTTCCAGAAGACTTTGTCGTGAAAGGGGAGAGGAAGGACGAAGAGATGAGCTCGGACGAGACTTGTACTCCCTCCCCCGACTCCAGCTCGGTTGCCAGCGTGGATTGGAGTCCTCAGAGCACGGAGAGCTCTTTGATGTCAGAGGCGCACGTTCGCATCAAGAACACCTTCCTGGAGTTCGGCTGCCCCACAGAATCCACGGACACGCTTCGGCGAAGCTCCTCGGTTCCTGACCTGAGACTGCCTGTGGCTTAAATGGTCAATGAGTCAATGCCTGTAGAACGGCGCAGTTCCTGTGGATACATCATAGGGACTGGGCTGCTTGATCAACGGACGGTTGTTTGCTACCAGGCATCACGAGCCTTGAGTGGCACACCAGGGCCGGAGCAATCAATGTTAAACAATTGGTTCGAGGAAGACCAAAACCAAAACCAATGAGAGCAAACATGGGCAAACCATGGGCAAACCACTCGCCCAGAACTGGCCTTTCGCTGTCGACGCTTTTTGTGTGTCATGTGACCAGAGCACGATGTTCCGCGTGAAACGCTGACAACGTGCGAGATTTTTGTTCAAGTGTTCTTGTCTATGGGCCTATTTCGGGGAACTTACCTACCGAAATGTAAGTCTGCACAAAGTATGTGCTGCAATCTCGACGGTTGTGGGGCCATGGCTCTTGGACATAGCAGGAGGTTGCTTGGACAGCACCATGCAGCCAAACTGGGCCTCCTGCACAGTTCAAGAACCTTCAAAGCATAACTCTCCCGGAGTGCCATCTCAAGAACCAAATACTAGCTCCGTACTCTCTTGCAGATGATGTGCTGAACACATGCACAGCCGGCAGATGGGATTTTTCTGGCAAGCCAGTGAGTCTCCTGAAACACGGCTGTGCCGTGTCGGCCTCTCTTGATGTCTTGGCCCCGCCCGTCACCTCACACTTGCTCGCCGCTAATCGCTGTACTGTAGTCTGACGCGCCGAATCCTCTACAGAAAAGTAGTTGGGAGGCGGCTGCCGAAGAATCTTAATTATGTCATCTGGATCTTGCATGCGCCCGCGCATAAAAAGAGAGAGGCACACGCCACGGCATGCGAGAGTCTGGCATGGAGTCGGGCATCGGGCCTCCAATTTGTTCTTCTCTTGGCCAGGTGCTCTCTCCCTGAAGCTGCCGCAAATTTGTTTTTTGCCATTGGTTGCTGTTTTGCCGCTCTGCATCTTTTTGTGTTTCTCCTTCTTTGAGCCGTTTTTGAGCTTTCGGTGTGCGGAGCCTCGTGCCTCGTGCGCTGCAGGAGCTGGACGTGCGCCGCTCCGAGGGCCTGCGCCGTGCCTCGGTCAGAAGAGCGCAGAGGGGTCTCTGCACTCTGCACAGTGTTCCCACCTCATGTTTCTGACAAGTTTTAAAGCTTTGGCAAATTTTAAACCTTCAACCTCGTAAACCTGGGGTCATTGAACTCCGATGCATCCCAACCCCTCATTAAGCCCCATTAGTGTTCACAGGCAGTCCCGACCGTTCCTCTTTTGCTTGTCGCGACAAACAGTGAAAGGGGACGGGCCCCCTATCAGGGGACCCGTCCAGATTGTGCGGTCGAAACAAATGTTCACCGGGGACGGGTGCCCTGTTCTAAACCTAGATTATGGAGTTTCAAGTCTAGCATGTTAAAACGGTGTTATTTCGGAGATGTAAGGCCTTGGGATCTCAGGGTATTCTGGTCACCAAAAGTATTTGTCCTTTAGCGATGACTACTGTAGCACATTATTATAAGATGGTATAGGACGTTAAAGTTTTGCTCCGTGATTCCATGCAACTCTCTGGCACGTCGACGACCTTCCCCACCAAACATATGCCGAAGCCAAACAGCATTTACAGGCCTTGAGGGATTCCCCCAATTCTACGGGACCGTGTAGTGAAGGAGCAGTACACTTGGACGTGCAGCCACTACCCGTGTCTGGAAACGGCCGGAAGTAGAGCAAACGTTTGTTAAAACTATTAAGACCTGGGGGGGCTTCAGAGAGCGGAAATCGAACCATCCTAAACCCAGTCAATTCCCCTGAGCTTTATTGCCATGGTTCAGAGAGCATGCGGTTTATGGGAACCTTATTGTTGGTATTGAAAAGCATTGCTTATGGCCTCATGCCGATAATCCCTCATCTTCGTCTTACATAAGTTGCAAGGACGGAAAACCGCGACAAGGAAGTGTGATATATCTGCTCATGTGTCTATGCATGGTGTTCGCGGTGGATCTCTAGTGTCTGGAAGGGATCTCGGTGAGCCCAAACTCTTCAGTCAGGAAGGCCGATAATAAAGGACTATCCTGAGCCCCTATACAAGCCCAACACAAGCCCTGATTAGTCCTTCGAATGTGTTTCAATATACTCCTTTCGTGCGCTTTTCGGGTATGCAGCAGCACGGGTTTCGAGCATTTTTAGTGGGAGGCTGCTTTTCATGAATCTTCATTTTGGGGGGAAAGAGCGGTTTCAGTCGGAAAGGGCGGAAAGAGCGGAAACGCTAACAAAGAGTCCCGAGCAGATTTTAGGGGCACCTGGGTTTGGCAGGTCTCTACACTGAAGGCTCTCTTATTTCTTGCTCACTGTCTCTCTCTCTCTCACTCTCTGTCTGTCTCTCTTTTTTCTCTCTCTGTGTATATGTTCCTATCACCTTTCTGGCTTCCGCCATAAAATTGAGAAACGCGGTCGCCATGAATGTTTCGCTAAGGCAACTTGGTTGAGGTCCGCAGACGTTGATGTACTTTCGAGTTGAATGCGCTGTTGTGACCGCGTGGGGGGGTGGGGGGTGGGAATTCTCGAAGCTTCGCTGCGGGATGTGCAGAGCCATTCTCGGAAGCTGAGGGCCCGAGCTGTCGGATGCGGTACAAGGCATGCCATGGCCTCCCTCTGTGTGTTCAGGGTGTAGGGATGCTTTAAAATGCACTTGGTGTGCGTCTGGCGTCTGGGGGGGGGGGGGGGGGGGGGGGCTTATTATTTGCCCTCAGACGCACCAGGCAGCCTTCGGCGGCTCTTTGTTGACGGGTGCTGGCAGCTGGAAGACGACGTGGCCGGGGGCTCTCGGGGGGCTCTCGAACTCTTAAGCATCAGATGGCTGCAAACACAGAGAGCGTCCTTGTGCATCGGGGAGATAGGAAACACAGCGAGAATACGGGGAAGCAACAAACCCACTCGGAAAAAGACAAACGGGTAAGATTCAGGTGGAGGCCCTTGCGTCGCTGCACCTCTCCCGCCAGTGCGTTGTGGACATTGGCGCCATTTGTTGTCAAGTTTTGCTTCCGAACTCGTAGTTCAAGTCACGATCGTTTTGTTTCTGGGTTCTTCAATGTGCTTCCTCCATTGTCTCTGCAGAGGACTGGTTCCGCAGCGCCGAAGGCTTAGGCCCCTTTTGTCGGTGTATCCGTTTAAGTCCGGTGCTTCCCTTTCTCGCAAAACTGCATCGCAGTTGAGACCAGTCAAGGGTGAGACCTAAAGACGAAGGTCGCAAGTGAGGTGAAGAAGATGCTAAGATGCTAAGCCTTCAGCCTCTGCCAGGCCTTGGCGTCGGCCAGCACCTGCAAGACGGTCCCAGCACAAGTACGGCAAATACAGATTCTGTCGTTGTCGTGTGGCAGATGGGCCAAGAGGTCGAGGTGGGCTGAGATTTTGGAATCTTTCTCATGCTGATTTCCGCTTCTCAGTTGCATGCCCTAGCTGCCCTTAAACAGGTGGTGATTCTCTCCGAAGGCTACCGTGGCCAATGGGCACGCAGCCCGGAGTCAATGCCCGTCCTCTGAGTTTGCCGCAGAGTTCCGGCAGACATCGAAGAAAGATGCAGCGAGTACAGAGGTGACCGCGAACATTGTCTCGGCCGTCGTGTTCGCAGGCTCAGTCTCGGCAACTGTCTGTCAGCTAACTTGCAAATCTAAGTTCTGCCGTTGACTGGGCTCGGCTAGGGCACTCCGCGCTGGAGCCTTGCTTCAACATTCTGGTGCAGAAGACGGAGGCCTCTCCTGTCACTGAACACACGCACACAAACACATTCACATATGGCATCTCTCATGGGATTGTCTTTCGGTATGAGAATGGGCACACCCTCAGTGAAACATCTCGGCAGAAATCACTTCTCTGACGACGTTGATTCTGTCAGTGCATATCTTCCTAAGACAAGCAAACTTCCATAGTAGCATAATGCAGGTACACATTCGAGGTGCCTGACCGCATCCGTTGATTTCCCGTATCTTCGTTGGACTGGGCAGGCAAATCAGCTCCAGTCCCCCTGCTTTCAATACTTTTCACAAGCATAGTCTCGACGACAGCTCTTACGTACAGAGTTTGCACACACACACACACACACCATCCCGATCTCTAGTATGAGCCGCATGCTTCAGCTGAAGATACAAGCAATGAGTTTTTAGGCGCATTATCGCCTACGTAACGTACTGCAAAAATCGCGGATCTCGAAATGGTCTGCATCGTTTGCATGTTCGTGACGGCCACATTGTTACGCAAGCTGGTTCCTTGCAGCTTGCGTGACTTCTTGATTTTCCTACCTCGTTTTCTTTGGTCAAACGAGATTAGGGCCATTAGGGGACTTGAGGCCCCCTGATCGTTTACGAGCATTCGAGGATCTTGCAGGAGAGCCGCGGCTGGCTCGAGTTTTCCCCGAAGCCATATTCCAAAGCCTTCATATCAAACATGCTTTCTGCAAGCGGGTAGGACGCAAAAGAAAGACCTCGTCACGCAGGATCGAGGATCGAGAGCGGTAAGATCCGACAGAGATGAAAGGGCAGAACTGCAACAAGAGAGCAAACGACATGATGTGCAAATTTCAGGGACAGTAGACCCCATGTAAATAGAGAGAGAGAGAGCTTGCACAGAGCCTGGGCCTGCTACACCCAGGTCCAAGCTCGACTGAGTGTAAGTTGTTTGTCTGAAATACATGGGCATGCTGTGAATCTCTGCAACGTTAGGAGATAAGATGTTTTCACGATGTGCTTGGAGTTTGGCCCTGCGCAACCTGCATGAACCCCATCGGCTCACATTGCATTGCTGATTTCAGCTCGGGCTTCCACGCGTCGAACCCCCTTGGTATTGGGCCCCTCGCGTGAAAAGCGCGAAAAGCACGAGACTTTCAGTTGCACGCAGTGGCAGCCATGAGCCATGGGCCACAGATTTTGACCGTAACTGGTGGCAGTGCCACGTCAGAAACCGTCGGTTCAACATGTCATCTCCCCACTGCTGCAGGCCTTCAGCCAGGCGGTGGGTTTTTCGGGCCGCGTGGCCTTCAGGATAGGCATGGACACCTGCAACGGGCAGTGAATTCGGCATACGTTTTCAGCGAGGATCCGGCGTCGGCACCTTCGGGCAAAAGAGCGAAGTGAAGGACACCAATAGAGCGCGGAGGAGCCGAGCATCTTTAAGCAGTCCGCTGCTCGGATCGGAGGCCCGGAGCTTGGCATTCCCGCAGCGATCTGCTCAATGACGCGCCACACATGGTGCACAGCAATTCTTCCGCACAGTAATTATGCCTTGTGCAGTGGCAAATTGCCAAGTTGCCAAGCCTTGGCAAGGCCAGCTGAGCTCGCTGAAATCGGACCGTGCCTTGGAGAGTGGCCTGCCACGGTCTTGGAAATGTTTTAAAATGGATGGGCCCTAAGGCCCTTGTGGTTGTTGACCTCCTGGCTAGCCTGCGGTCTTCATCAGCTTGTTTTTTTTTTATTCTTCTTGTCGTGTTCCTCTCGTGTCTTCTAGAATTCGACACCACGCCTTTCTGCTTCCTAGGCTCTTGACAAGCTGCACGCCGTCAGCTTTGGAGGCGTGCATGTCTTTGCTTGTTGTAAGTGTTTTTTTTTGTGGTCCTTCAGTACTCGTAGCGTTTGCGAGCTCACTGAGCCTACAAGCTTTCAAGCGTCCACATTGGCGGCACATGTTGGAATCTGCTGCTTCGTGCAGGTGTCAAGTGTTCTTCACAGCTCAGCCCTGCGAGGTGCTGCAAGAAGACTCCGTGACTCGTGATCATCCCACCCGTGGCACAATGCAACACTGCAGCTGCTCGATGTTGTTCAAATAGTGGGTGCCACTTGCACAGACTAATCCCGATTCACCCGGACAAGATGGTCTTTGTTCGACTCTTTCCTAAACATCATTGTCTCTGTCTCTGTCTCTGTCTCTGTCTCTGTCTCTGTCTCTGTGTGTGTGTGTGTGTGTGTATCGTTGTGTTCGGGAGCAGCTGCTAATCATGCAAGTTGCCAGTAGTGCTCGTGGCCACCATGTTCACCATGTTACCAGTACGGCGCTGATTGCTGACGCACCCGCGATTCCAAACGCCTGCTGCAGCCAGCATCCAAACAAAATGTTTGCAGCGCCGGGCATTCAAGAGAATCGCATGTAGTGCACGCAGCGGCTATCTGCCTCTCATGTTCCTGATCCGCATGAGCTGCAGCAGCTTACGTGTGTTGTTTCACCGATGTTTGCAGGTCGGGAATTTATCAGGAGAGCTTGATGCCTGTGTGGGACGGCGCTCGGTACTCATAGTGTGACATCGCTGGCATTGGATTCTGGAAGTCAGGAGACACGCACGGCCTCCCAGCTCGTGGTCTGACACCTACGGGACCTAGACAGTCACATGGGACGACAGAAGTGGGGGACCCCCTGAGACACACGTTTGTTCATGTGTGGCTATATGTTACAACTGCGCTCTCTCTCTCTCTCTCTCTCTCTCTCTCTCTGTTCCTCTCCCTCTCTCTCTCTGTTCCTCTCTCTCTCTTCCTCTCCCTCTCCCTCTCCCTCTCCCTCTCCCTCTCCCTCCTCTCCTCACCCCCTCTCTCTCTCTCTCTCTCTCTCTCTCTCTCTCTCTCTCTCTCTCTCTCTCTCTTGCTCTCTGAGCGAGTGTCCTCAAGGATCGAGAGCGCCAGCGGCAGCTCCATGCTGTTACCGTCCTGGGCCCCCCGGCCCAAGAGAATCTCCCGTTACTGTGCGTAATCTCACAAGTGGAAGCACCGGAATAATCGGCAGGAAAAAATGCTCGTGCCTGAGAGCCTCACGCCTGAGAGGCTGGGGGACGGAGAGCTCGGTCGACTATTGGATCATCGAGAATTCCTGGGGCCAGGCATTAGAGCTTGAGAGAGGGTATGAATTTTATAGGTACTTACATGGTACTTCCTAGCTCTCTCTCTCTCTCTCTATTTTCTCTCTTCTCACACTCCTCCTTGGCTGGTGGCGCGTTTGTATTTTAACAGGGCTGGGGCGAGGGCGGCTACGCCAAGGCCGAGCTTTTTTTGCGTGACGAAAGTTTGTAGAAGATCATGTGGCCATGCTTGCTGCTGGCAGCCTGTCAGATCTATCCGAGCAGCTTTAAGCAGCAAGCTCCAGCGGAGTGTTAATCGGTGAGTGACATGGTTCTTACCACGTGAAATAGAACGAGAAGAAGAGCGCAGCCAGATCGCAGCTGGAGACCCGTCCAAGAAGAAGGGCATCCTCCTCGAGGAGTCTTGGACCTCAGCCCTTCGATCTCCAAGCTGTGAACCATCCTTCCCTGCTTGGCTGCTTGGCTGCTTGAGGTTTGCCTTCGCCGGTACTCCCGTGAACCCCAAGGCACGACTTCTGCTCTGCTTCAGCAGTCTCAGCTGTTCTTGCAACGCCCTCGACTTGCTGTGCCAGGTCCTCTTGGAGCAGACTTGACCCCAAGCAGAAGCTCCGAGAGAAAAAGGAGCATGGGGAGACGCAGCATGATTACAGACTTTAGAAGTGCTCACCCTTCTTCTGTAGCTTCTGGGTGGGGCGCGGTGTTGAGAGCGGGGACATCCTCGTATCGGCCTGTCACTTTGCCCTTCTGAGCTCGCAGAAGCTGGGAGGTAGATTCAGGTAGATCTGGCACCTTCTGGCAACATTCTGGCATCATGGAGACGCAAAGCGTCGGAAACTGCTGGAATCCTCCCTTTGATCCTTCACATGGAGCGTGGCAGCCCAGAGTTGCCTTTCTGGCTGGCCCACCCACCCCACCCCACCCAATCTTGCAGCATTCAAGCAGTAGGTCGCACAGGGGGCTTGGAGGCATGCCCCCTGACCATACGGGTACAAAAAAACCAGACACAGGAAGGCTTTTGCTTCGAAGAGTGTTTGTGAGCTTCAGGTCATGGACATCGAAGTGGCCATCGCGGCATCCCAAAGTGGCGTTGTCGCGAAGGGCGAAAAGGCTCTCTCTCTCTCTCTCTCTCCCCTCTGTTCCTTTTTATATGTTGAAAAGATCATCTTTGGGTGAGCCAGGCAGAAGCCACGGAAACAAGCTTGGAGGCAGCTTTTGCTTAGCCTCTGGTGGAAAGAATTTGGTCGGATGTAGTCTGCTTTTCGGAGGCTGCAACGGCTCCAGCAGGCACGCTGGACCTTACACCGCCGAACTACCCAGGCTGGGATCAGAAAGTCTACGCGGGAAAAAGCGGGGGATGAAAGGCAGAGGAGGCAGAAGGAAAGGCAAAAGGAAGAGAGAGAGATGGGAAGTCGGGGGAAAAGGGGGGGGTGGGCCTCAGAGAGAGAGGAGACGGCTCAATTCCTCCGCAGGAAGCTCGAAAGCACGGGAGACGCGGCCTGCCTGGCTCTCGTGCGTGCAGCGAGAGTGTGAGGACAAGACTGCTCTTTTGTGATGAGTCGATGAGTCGTGGGAGACCGTTTTGTGATGCTCTCATGAGGCCTTTAAGAAGGCTCCCTTGAGAATCATGGTGCCCTTGCTTGCTTAGGGCACCTCGGACGGCACGCGACCGGCAACAACGCCCCGGAGCCGCCTGGGCCCTGAGTTGTTCCGAAGCTCCAAAACGACAGCTCCTCAAACGTTTGAAGCCCTTAAAGCGTCCCTCACAGAGGCCCAGTAGTGGAAGAAGTCTTCAACGAATGTTCCAAGCCTAAGGATCTTTGGCGACAGCTCCGGCCAGCCGCGGCGTAGTCAGCCGCAGACCGCACACATCCTCTCGCGGCCTTATCGCTGAAGACCCTAAGCTCGATAAGAAGTTGATGCGCTTTTTCTTTTCAGTATTCATGTTTTGCAGTGGTGCAATACTTCGCAAATCCAGACACAGCATGTGGTAGGAACTGCATTTATGTAGCTGATGTAACTGTAACTGATTCATACCTGCGCCTTTGCTGCTCGGCAAGCTGTTGACAGCTGAGAACGTGCACGTTGCTGCCCAGGTGCATCCAATCCCTGGCGACGTCAAAGTGTCACCGCAGGCAGATGCTGCTCATGGTCGTGTTCAAAGTGAAGCATGTGACAACCCCGTTCTCTGGCTTAGTCTGGTGGCTGTGGGCGGGGCCCTTGCCTCCTCAAAGGATGAAGACTCGTACCCCTAAGGTTGTACCTCTAAAGGTTCCCCTTAACGTGAACTCCTCCAACGTGATGGCGAACGTCGCCAGCAAACCTGTGGCCTACGCATGCTTGACCGTTTGAGTACAAGAGCAGACCTGGCACCCGTTTTGCACTTTTTTGGCTGTTACAGGGAGACGAGGGGATCCACACAATCCACACTCACGTTATCAATTCCAGGAGCGCCCGGCTCTCCGTATGCGCGCGGGAAGCTCAGAACTCTTCGGCTTGTCGCCATTTGGTCAACGTGTTCAACCCCTCAAGCCTCAATTTGTTCGAGCAGCGGAGCTCCTCGCAAGGTCACGCACGCGCTTGAGAACCAGGCATGCCACCTGACCGCGCCTGACCTAAACCCCAAGTTTAATTTAACGGCTACCGCCAGTGCCGCCGACCCCAGACAGGAGGGCGGGCGGCAGGCCGGCAAACCGCAGAGCCAGTACAGGCTCCGAGATTTAGGGTTTAGGGTTAAGGGCTGTAGCAAAAACTATTTAAAAAGAATGAGTTCTATGTATAACTAATATCTATACACATAGTATTTTAAAGTATATAATGAGTTTTTGGTAAACATGAAGACCAAAAGATAAAGGAGATATCTTTTACTTATCTTTTATCTTTTATCTTTTTATATCTGTATAAAACCGAAATTCATATCTTTGGGGCTCGGGGCAGGGCGCTAAGGGCGGTGGGGGCGCGAGGGTTGGGCATGCGCTGCAAGTGTGAGGGGGGTGATGAAGCAGAAGCCATGGGGCCAGGGTGGGCGGGGTGAGGGGGTGGGGAGGGGGTGGGGGTGGGGTTCAGGGGGTGGGGGGGAGTTGGGGTGGGGTGGGGTGGGGGTGGGAGCGGCAAGCTGTCATGGCTGAGGTGGAAGGTCTAAAAAGCAGTGGTCTTCACTGACGCCGCCCCCAGCCGGGGTCGGCGGACAGTGTTCATCTGTGTACGCTGCGCACACCATGATGCTGTAAGAACTGAGAGTAGTGCCCAGCATCGCGAGGCCTCTTGGAACCCCAAGGCCAAAGGCGTGACCGAGGAGGCAAGGGGTGAGCCGTGAGCGTTGGATTGCAGCAGCAGCCCGAAGTTCGTGACAAGTCAGCTGTTTTTTTTCTGGAACCTCTCGGTTGTGGGATGATGGTTCCCTAGTCTCAGGAGCTTGTCGTCCCGCAGTCGACCATCCTTCGGGAGGAGGCAGAGTGGTCTTGGCGTACAGTTTCTTTGGCTTATCTTAGCTCGTTCATCTGTTCTGCGAAAGCAGATCTGCAGGTGGTGGGCGCCGCGCGCCGACGCGCGGGGCCGCAGCGTGTCAAGCTCTCAGCCATCGGAAGATTTCAGTTCTGAAAGCATTGAGTTTCGACAACGTGTCGCTTTTTTGCGACGCTCAATCGGAATCCAACGCGGCACTCGGGCAAAGCCGGTCCTGCCACGCGGGCGGCCCTCCGCCCGCGGGGTGGTGCGGGCCAGAGAGCGCAGTCGGCGGCTCCTGAGCCCGGAGGCAGGTTCCTACTTTTGGAACACCTCCCCACCATTCCCCACTTTTGTAAATGGAGGGAGGCCGCGTCGCGGGTCCTGATGTGCTAATATCCGGCTTCATTTTCTGGCTGGTTGGCCGTGAGGCTCAGGTTCAATGGCAGGACGCATGAACATCCATTTTGCTTTCTCGCCGGAGTTGCGCAGTCTCGTAGCAATGACAGCTCCCAAGAAACTTCAAGCATTGGCAGCTCCATTTTCGAAATCCCCCCTAGTCCGAACACGCGATGGGGATTCCCCCACCTCTCACCACCGCCAGGTCCGAGGCTTCACGTCTGACCGGGGCCGGCCGTCGTACACGCGGGCACAGCTCCTGGAAGCTCTTGCCCGTGTGCGCGTGCTGCAGCTGGCGGGGGCGGTGGCGCTGGCGGCGATTCGGCGATGGCGGCGGCATCCCCTTGACGGAGGTGGCCAAGCACTCCAGCAAGACGGACTGCTGGGTGGTGGTCGACGGCCAGGTGCTGAACGTCACCAAGTTCTTGTCGGAGCACCCCGGGGGCGAGTTGGCCATCTTGACTTTCGGGGGGCAAGGATGCCACAGAACACTTCAACCTGCCCCTCGGCTTGAAGTCGGCAAGGCCGCACCCCACCAATATCGCCTCCCTCTGCTGCCCTCAAAGGATCCACCCTCCTGGCGTGATCGGCAAGTTCGCCCCGGAGTCCGTGATTGGCATCGTGGGCTCGGGCGCGACGACTGTCGCGGCCAGCGCCGCGCCCAAGGCCAGCAGCGGTGGGCAAAGGGACCGAAAGAGTACCTTAACGGAAGAAGAAGCAGAGAGAAAGACAGAGAGAGAGAGCCCGGAGCACGTCCTTCGGGACGACCCCCTCGGGGGTTAAGTGCAATGGAAGGAAGGAAGGAAGGAAGGAAGGAAGAGAGCCCGGCGCGCGGGGGGGTGTCCGCTCCCCTCATGCCCCGTAGTAGAAGAAAATAACGGTTTTAGGGGTTAGCTAGGGTTTAGGGGTTCTGAGGGTTTAGGGTTCTCAGGGTTTAGGGGGCTCTTAGGGTTTAATCGCTCACGCTCGGACAAGCCAGGCGAGGCACACAGTGTCCCAGAATCCTGACACCGGCCCCCTCAGCTCATGTTTGGCTAAGATCGGCAAGGTGATACCAGCTCATGCAGCTAGCCAATTCAGTGACACGACTTGCATGGTGATACTACTCATCCCAGAACACGCCCCCTCAGTACTTCTCCACAGTGCCAGCTTCAAGCTTCCGGAACCATTACGGGCAGGGGAGGAATGACGGTGCAACCTAGTAACCAGTCTGGTGCATTGGTTTAGGGCTTTTTTGGGTTTAGGGTTTAGGGCTTGAGGGTCTAGGGGTGTTTAGGGTTTAGGGCAGGGGTTTTCAGGGTTCAGGGTTTCGGGGTTTTAAGGGTTTAGGGGTCTGTAACAAATAGCAGGATTGGCAGCAAGCTGACTCCGAAAACAGAAGGCTGTGCATGCTGGAAAGATCCCAGGGGACACTTCCAAGCAAGCAGGCAAGCACGAGAGAGCCCGCGATAGAGAGACAGCAAGAGGGAGCGAGACATGGAGCGAGACATGGAGCGAGACATGGAGCGAGAGAGCGTGTTGGGGTGAGGGGGGGGCAGCACAGTCCGTGCTGGACCTTGTTGCTCGGCAACCACCAGGCCTGGGACCTGCATGCGGCCAACAACTGGCGCGTGGGCCTCGACGAGAACCCAGGCAAAACCTATTGAACGCCAGTCAAAGCATCGCGTCTGGACTTCTTGTCGGCGCTTAAATATGCTGGCAATTGAACACATGCCGTGGGTTGGTGGAGGTGCCTTGCTCATCAACGTGAAGTCCTACTTCCATGCGACCTGGTTCTTCTTGCTGGCGGTGTTGTGCGTGCCACAGCTGTGATGGCATGAACAATCCTGTCCGACCCCCATGCCCTCACCCCATGCTAGCAAAGGGATTGTGTGCCGAACTGAGGAAGTGTGCGCGACCATCTTCTCTGTGAAGAGCTTCAAGATCTCCAACGACCACTTGGGTCTGACGCGCTGTGCCAAAATCGTGGAGGAGTACATCCTCCTGTCTGTGCTGCTCCATGTCTTCGTGGGCCTGAAGCGAACCTGGGGCAGGAAGCAGGCTCTGGTGCAGACTCAGGGCATCAACGTCCTGAGCCTGGCCATCTCCGGCTTGATGCTCTTGACCTTCATGACCATTCAGCTCTTCCAGTTCCGCTTCGGCAGCACCCACCAGTTCGGCCCCGACTACGTCTGGCCGCATCCTTACCGTCCTTACCTGACCAACTTCTGGGGCATCTCCTCCCTTTTCTGGACGAGCGAAGACAGCATCGAGCCAGTCGGCGTGAGCGACGTCTACGTGCCGTCCTCAGCGTTCTCTGAGCAACACGCCCTCAAGCACTGTAGCTACTAAGCCCGCCCAGTGCCCTGCACACATCAAGCCCCTAACGATAACCCTCAGCCTCCAGAGACGAGAGAGGAAATCGCCGACGCCGTGAAAGACGAAGTACATGACAGAGAGTGCTTTGACGTTTCCCTTCAAAGCGGTTTTGGCCTTCGGGCTTATGTGTGTGTGTGTGTGTGTGTGCGCCCTTGCGCCACATGAAAACTTGAGGCAGAAACTCCCTCGTTTTGCAAAGTACCTTGCCTGAAAATGACGGTTTGGTGCATGTCAGTTTGAGATTTGGTTTCAGACAATGGTTGCAACAAGAAGGTCAACAAACCCTGCATGAGCTTGGTTAGTTGCAAGATTGTTCTCTGACACTTTTCCTCTTGGTAGGAGATGGCTCACAAAGACATGGCGACATTGCTTGTCATGACTATGGTGGAGAGCAGGGGATCCAAACCTGACCTGTCCAAAGCCCCTCCCCGCTACAAGCAGCCCAGACAGCCGTGTGAACAAAAAAAGATGCCTGAACCCTGAATCCTGAACCCCTCAACATGAGGTCCAAAGCCCGTCGTCCGCAGAACTTCTAGGACGACTCGCCGGGATTCAAGGCCCAGCTAGGTAACAGTGGGAGTCAGGTGGTCCTTATGTTCATTTTCTCCGTGTGCATCTTCATGTACCACGCTTGCATCGGTTGGAAGAAGGCGGGATCCTTCCTTTTGCAGTTGGACTTTGAGGGCTTGCTGCGGCTGACAGATTCGTGTCATGATCGCTGTGCTGTGGAGGCCATTTCCGGAAACGGCAATCAATCTTTGCGGCTGCCTTGGAGATAGCTGGGGGCGACAGCGAGACGGCGAGACCTACAACTCCATGAGCAACGGTGCCCTGCAAGCCTTCTGAACAACAGCTTCGAGTTCCTAACCTGCATCCCATCCGCCACGGCCGCCACGGTTCAAGCAAGAACCTGGTTACGGGGGCGCTTGAAGGAGACAGTGCCCACCCTGTCAACCACCTGTGCGAGACAGCCTCTCTCGTGGACACAAAGTGATCTGCTCCACGGACAAAAGAGGACCTTTCGATCTGACATGCAGTCCCTTCAGTGCGTACTCTTGCTGAGTGTCTTGATAAGCGTAGTGCAGTCCACTTCGCTGCGCCCTAACACGGCTCCAAGCCCCAGTATCGCCGGTCCTGCCAACGCCTGCCTTAAGCCCCGGCCGCATGCCTTCCAGGGTTCCCCCACTCTTTGACAAGAGCACTGAGCATGCAGTATCTTCGTTTCTGCTAGTCACTGCTAGTCCTTGGCCACCGCACCCCCAGGTTACGTCCGCATTGTGTTCGAACAGAACCATTTCTGGGTATTGGTCAAGTCACGTCTTTGCTCTCCACCTCATGTGTGTGAGAGAGAGAGAGACTGGCCAACCGCTGAAGTCGATCAAGAAGTCTCCTGTCAGAAGTTCCGAGCTTCTTGTGATGCGTTGATGGATCGCGGTGTCGGCAGCATCTTCCAAGCTATTGTCGTGAAGTGTCGCGCGCTAAAGTACAAAATCGCACAAGTTTTGAGTCGTCTGCCTTTTTCAGAATCTCATGCATTCCTCCACTTACTCTGCTTGTGGACTGAAAGAAGACGTGCTCCCTGCCGGCTCAGAAGAATCAGAATGAAGAATTCGTAGACTTTCGATTGCTGACGGAACAGGTGTAGCGAGCTCAGGCTGAAAGTGTCAGTGTAGCAGATGGGGCAAAAGCAACTTACGCAGTTACAAAAGTCATCTTTCCCAGGTCGTACTTTGCCTCCTCTCCTCCCCTTCGGGGGGGAGTGAAGCCGTTCGATGAGCCAGGCCCCAGACGGAAGCCTTCAGTGGTTCATTGCTTCACAAGTTTCGTGGATCTTGATGCGGACCCCTTTAGCGTATCTTTGTTGCTCCTTTGTTTCAGTCTTTTGCGAGGCGCGGGGTCGAGGTGGGACCCCAACGAAGCCCGAGTACGTCAAGGCGCGAGTGCTCAATGCACGTGCCTGCAAGTGCCTTCAGTTTGGACAGCCTGGAAAGAGCGATCGCTCGAGCGCTTCTGTCCTGCCTTACCCGCATAAGTCGGCTTGGGATCGAGGAGTCCCAAAATGGCGAGGCTCCATCACCCAGGCCTGTTTTGCAGAACGCCTGTTGCACTGAAGCGCTTGCACTTGCTTGTTACTCTGGTTTTCGGACCACCGGCGTCATGAAAGTCATGATTCCCGCGGCCTGAGGTTCGGACATACCACGACCTTCGTGGGAGACAACCGGGTAGTTCTGTTTGGCGGAGCCACGGGGGATTCGGGCATCTCGGCGAAAGCTCCCTAGGCCTTACTTAGCCCCTCAAGTCTCTAAGTATGTCCCCCGCCCCCCCCCCCCCGCTTTTTTCCAATGACGACGAGAGCTTCAGGCCGCTACACCATCACGGCAGACGCTTTCATGCTGAACGCCGGGCAGAGTGGTGTTCTTTCTTACGTTCGTGTTGCGGAGAGTGAGATCTGTCTGTGTCTGTGTCTCTGTGTCTGTGTCTCTGTGTCTCTGTGTCTCTGTGTCTCTGTGTCTGTGTGTCTCTGTGTCTGTGTGTCTCTGTGTCTGTGTGTCTCTGTGTCTGTGTCTCTGTGTCTCTGTGTCTGTGTGTCTGTGTGTGTCTCTGTGTGTGTGTGTGTGTGTGTGTGTGTGTGTGTGTGTGTGTGTGTGTGTGTGTGTGTGTGTGTGTGTGTGTGTGTGTGTGTGTGTGTGTGTGTGTGTGTGTGTGTGTGTGTGTGTTGTGTGTTGTGTGTTGTGTGTTGTGTGTTGTGTGTTGTGTGTTGTGTGTTGTGTGTTGTGTGTTGTGTGTGGTGTGGTGTGTGTTGTGTGTTGTGTGTTGTGTGTTGTGTGTTGTGTGTTGTGTGTTGTGTGTTGTGTGTTGTGTGTTGTGTGTTGTGTGTTGTGTGTTGTGTGTTGTGTGTTGTGTGTGTGTGTGTGTGTGTTGTGTGTGTGTGTGTGTTGTTTGTGTGTGTGTGTTGTGTGGTGTGTGTGTGTGTGTTTGTGTGGGTGTGTGTGGGTGTGTGTGTGTGTGTGTGTGTGTGTGGTGTGTGTGGTGGGTGTGTGGTGTGTGTGTGTGTGTGTGTGTGTGTTTGTGTGTGGTGTTGTGTGTGTGGTGTGTGTGTGTGTGTGTTGTGTGTGTTGTGTGTGTGTTGTGTGTGTTGTGTGTGTGTTGTGTGTGTGTTGTGTGTGTTGTGTGTGTTGTGTGTGTTGTGTGTTGTGTGTGTGTTGTGTGTGTTGTGTGTGTTTTGTGTGTTGTGAGTGTGTGTTGTGTGTGTTGTGTGTGTGTTTTGTGTGTTGTGTGTGTGTGTGTGTTGTGTGGGTTGTGTGTGTTGTGTGTGTTGTGTGTGTTGTGTGTGTTGTGTGTGTTGTGTGTGTTGTGTGTGTTGTGTGTGTTGTGTGTGTGTGTGTTGTGTGTTGTGTGTTGTGTGTGTGTGTGTGTGTCGTGTGTGTTGTGTGTGAGTTGTGTGTGT